TGTGGGCCCAGCACTGCCTCTGCCCTCACACCCCTCACCGTGCAACGCCAAGAGGTTTTCTTCACCCTGAAGGAGAGGCCCTTTCCCTGGAAGACGTGCTGGCTGCCTGCAGCCACTGAGTGGACTGGATGTGGCGCAGTGGGGCTCTGGCTGAGCGTCCTGGCTACTTGGGCTGCAGCTGTTGGTGGGCTGTGCATCCCCTGGGTGTCTGCTGGGTGTCAAGCCTCTGGGGGTGGCACACAGTCAGAGCAGCATCCCTCCTGGTACTCTCGGTCAGGCGCCTGGTGACAGCCACACGAGCTGGTGGTGCCTGCTCTGTTCACTCACTGTAGCCGCTTCCTGTGGTCAGTGTATTTGCCCGGGCCCGAGTCCCCACAACCAGGTCACTGTCCCCTCCAAATAGGGCTCCTCAGGCAGGCAGCCCCCCTCCAGGTGGGCACCCAGCTACCCTCAGCTCCTCAACCTGCAGTCTGTGCAGTGGGCAGCAGTGGGCCATTTGGGTGCTGGAGGCAGGGCACAGCAGAGAGGGCACAGACAGGGCTAGGATGTCCCTAGATGGCACAGTCCCCATGTCCAGGTGGCTGGATTGGTGCCTTCCAGGTGGCCCCACGGGGAGCCTGTGTCAGGTGATTGAAGGGCTCGATGCAGGGAGGGGATGCTGGTGTGTTCCCAGGCCCAGGGACGGGTGCCTCCCAGAGGCTGTTCCCTTCATGGACTTGTGTCCAGGCTGCTCATAGTAGTGTCAGTCCTAGGAAGGGTTTCCTTGTGGCCTAGGCCATTCACTCTTTGAGACAATGCTGTTCCTATGTGGGGAGACCTCCCGGTGTACCTGGGTGCATTATGCCTGCTCACTGGCTCTGTGCTGGCGCTCCCTGGTCTCTATCTCCTGCTGGGAGTCTCCTGGCACCAAAGATGTTCAGTTCTTGGCGCCATGTGTAGTCCCTGCACATGTGCAGATGAAGCTTGGCTGCAGTTGCTGCTCGAGGAGGTTGCGTGCGGGGACGTGGCTCTGTCATGTGCCTTGGGTCTTTGGTGTGTTTGGGTACCCGGAGCACCCACCAATACGCTTGGCCACTGTCACTGTTGCTGTTGCTACAGCTGTGGACTGGGTCGCATGGGCAGATGTAGGGATCTGTTGGTCTCAGTCAGGTTGGTTCTACCTGGGAGACACGGCAGCAGGAAGGAGAAAGATAGACAAGAAGACAAAAGCTGGGCTAGGTGGTTGCCGGTCTGCCTGGTGGGCAAGACGCACACATCAGCACAATGAAACCTACATTTATTTATACTTTTGCAAAGTTAGTAACACGTGACACAAGGTTGCCTAGTGACTAGTAGCCGACATTAACCAGTCAGGATGCTTGTCTCAGGACTGAGGTGGCTTGTTTGCTTTGGGCACCGAGCCCTAGTCTTGCCTGCACACCTTTGACTGATTTTCCAGCTTCTGTGGCTCCCTGCAGGCAGAGAGCTGGGTGAGCACCTGTCTCAGCCCTCTGGTTGTTTGGTGCTCACTATCTGCCCTTTTCCCCAGGCATCCGGAAGATTTTTCTTTTCTCTTGCTTTTTGCTTTGCTTTTGGCGTCTGGCTTTTTTTATTTTTGTTTTTATTTTTGCCCACACAGTTTGGGCATATAGCCTGGACTGGCCTTAAACTCAGGGTGGTCCTCCTGCCTTAGCCTCCTGAGTGTGGAGTGTGCCACTATGCATAACGAGTGCTCTTAATTTCTAGCATGATTTTCTCTGTTGTTTTTAATTTCCCACTTTAGTTGTCTAATAAACTGACTAGTTCTTTTCTCTTTCTCCTTTCAGTGTTGGGGCCCAAGCCCACAGCCTTGCATGCACAAGGTATCTAGTGGATTTTTTTTAGGGTATCTGTAACATTTATTTATTTTTAAATGATTTTCTAGTCTGATTTTAAGCTTTTTTTTTTTTTTTTTTTGTCTTTTTGAGATAGGGTCTTACTGTGCAGCTCAGGCTGGCCTTGATCTCACTTTATAGCCCTGGCTGGTCCCCAACTCAGTGATCCTCCTGCCTCAGCCTCCGCTGTTTCAGCTCAGTGTTTTCTGTGGGTGTCTTGCAGATGCTCCATTGTCCACTTGGAGGGGTTCTGCTCTGCTTAATTTTGTGTCATCAGGCCCATTGGTGAAGCTGTGTAGCCCCCCGCTGTTTAGTTTTTATTCGTAGTGCTGGGGATGAAACCAAGGCTGTGGGCCTAGTGCTCTGCTGGAGCCCTGCCTCAGAGGGTTGGTTTTCCTGGGCTGCCGTGGCCCTCCCTGCAGTGACCCCTCTGGTGGCTCTTTGGGAGTGGCTGTGCTTCTGTCTGTCAGTTCCACCTGGTTCCTGCTTGCTCTGAGTTCTGTCCCACTGGGGACACTGGTCCAGACACCCCTGCATCATGTCGTTTCCCCCCCATGCCCCGTGCTCTTCTGCTCCCATGCCTTATAGGGACACCAGCTCTCTCCTGTCCTGTCCTGTCCTCAGGCCTGTCAGCTGCGCTTGCTGGGGCATCTGGCCTGGGCATGTCTGTAGCCGGGACTGCAGGACCCCCTTGCTGCTCTGACTGTGAGCCAGTGCTAGCTCAGAGCCACCGTGTCCCTCACCTTGCTGCTCTCCCGGGAGCTGGGCCGCCTTGTGTTTTTTAGGGGCTTACTGTGTAGCTCAGGCTGGCCTTGAGCTTGCAGCAGTCCTCCTTCCTGCTCCTCCTGGGTGCTGGGATTACAGGTGTGTGCCCCCATGCCCAGCCAGGCCACCCTGATCTGTACAGTGCGCATGTGCAGATGGGTGCTGTGCGATGGGCAGAGAAGCTAGCGCTGGCGTGCGTTGCACATTCGATTGGTCTGTAACTGAGTTGCGTGCTGTGCATCCTGTTCTGTTTCAGTGGTCTTGGCCATGCGTGCAGGGGCTGACCTGGCTCAGTCACTGGCGTTTCCTCTGTGCTATCCCGTGTCCTCGCTGGACCTCTGGCCTGTGGTGCTGTCCCTGGCAGAGTGGCCTGGCTTGGTATTTGCTGGGAGATATCTGTACCCACACTGGGAGACCCCTCCAAAAGGCCTGTTAGTGCGCGTCTGTGGCCCCTACGTGGGACCCAGCGCGCATGTAGAGATACATACCGGCTCACATGTGCACACACCCCCTCCTGAGTGCTGCGCTGCAGCCCGAGACTCTGTGCGTGACTTTCAGCCAGGCCCACAGAACAGCAGAGTTTGTCACCAGTACTGGAGTTCAAACCCAGGTCTTTGCACTGAACCGTATCCATTTTTTTTCTATTTATTTTAAGATTGGATCTCACTGAGTTGCCCTGGGTGGGCTTGCATTTGTCATACTTCCATCTCAACTTCACAGAGTGCTGGGACAACAGGTGTGTGCTGTCATGCCTGGCTAAGACAAGAAATTTTAAGAAAACTTTCAAAATGTTTTCCTTATCCTGCTACGCCGGGGGTGGGGAGGGGTCGACCCACCACAGATGCTGGGCCAGGTTGCTATGGGGGTGCCTGTCTGTAATCTCACTGTTCTGGGAAGGTGAAGCAAGAGTATCAAAAGTTCAGTTCCAGTCTGGGAGTTCAGTGATTTAGTGAGAGGCTGTTTCCAAAAGAAAATAGAGCTGGGCCAGGGAGATGGCTCAGTAGAATAAGCGCCTCCCTGGCAAGCACAAGGGTCTGAGTTCAATGCCTGGTTCCGCCAAAAAAGAAAAGAAAATAGAACCCTACCCTCCAAAGCCTGAAATGCCAGGCCTGTGGAGGCTGCCCTGTGTCCAGGAAGAGCCTGCAGCAGATCAGTGGGGGGAGATGAGGCCAGGACTTCGGCTCCTAATGGTCAGTGTTGGGCTCCAGGCCATGGGGGAGGCCTGGGCTGGCATTGGTAGCCCCCAGAATGCAGGAGGTCTGGTCGGCTCCAACATTCCCAGCCACTGTGTAGGTGGAGTGGGTGTGCCCTTGGGGTGTATGGGTGCTGCCTGCTGTGAGGATGAGCTGCAGGGCAGAAGAGCTTAGCTTCAGGGCCTGATGTGTGTTCAGGTGCTGCTGGGGTTGCTTAGAAACATAATCTTCAAGCAGAGATTTGATTTAATCATCAGCTCAGTCGATGCCTTGTGAGTTTGCGAGAGTGTGTGTGAGTGAGTGTGTGTATGTATGTTATGTGTGTTATGGGGATTGAAACCAGGGCCTTTGCACTGAGCTGGAGCCCCAGCACTTTTTAAATTTTGTGACAGGGCCTTATCAAGTTGCCTTGGCTGGGCTGGGCTGGAACTTGTGATCCTCCTGCTTCAGCCTCCCCAAGTGCTAGGATGATGGTTGCACCATCAGGGTGGCTCATCGGTGCTTTGTAAAAGTGATTGAGGCCAGCGAGATAGCTCACCAGTCTAAAGCGCCTGCTTAGGCAAGTTGAGGCAACCACAGGAACTGTGGTTTGATCCCTGGTACCTCATGATGTGCCAGCCCCACCCCTAGGGTGGGCTAAGCCAGCCACACACACACACACAAAAGTGATGGAGACCTACACGGACATGTTTCTGTGCACAGTTCGCCTCACGCTGTGTGGCATCACACGTGGTTGTAAAGGCCCCTGTGGGCTTGGTACTGGTTATCACCTGGGGGAGCTTAAGGGACACATAGTTATCAGGCACAGTACCCTGAGCCTTATCCCAACTGCTTAGGAGGCTGAGGCAGGAAGATAACCAGTACAAGGCCAGCCTGTCTCAGAAGAAAAAAAGAACAAAACAAAGCCCAAAACCAACACCAGAAGCAGAGGTGGCTGTCTGCCGCGTGGGGAAATTGGGTGGTGGCACAGGGTTGACATTGTGAGCAGCGCCGCATGTGCCCTGTGGAGGTGCTGGGCAGGTCGGCTGGAGTCTGCATGCTCTGTGCTGCCTGCCTCAGGCTCTTCCTGCACACGGCTGGGGGACTCTCACTGCCTCCTGCCTGCTGCTGCTCCACTCCTTGTGTCTTTTTGGGAAGGTGGGTGTTTGTTTAGAAGTCAGTAACAGGATGCATTTATGTTCTTTCTTAGGTAAAAGTAAGGAAGCAGAAATAAAGAGGATAAACAAGGAACTGGCAAATATTAGGTCAAAATTCAAAGGTGAGTGTTCAGTAACCTTTTTCGTGACGTATTCTGTTACACATATTTCATAGTGAGGACCTAATTTTTTAACGTCTTGTTTTTCATGTTAAACCAAAGGTGAGTTCTCAGATGGTCCAGTTTCTATTGGTCTATGAAGCCGAGCCCCATTTTCAGGGGGCTTCTGGGCTCCTGGGCTCCCTGGCTCCTGGGCTCCCTGGCTCCTGGGCCCACATGGCCTGGGTCCGGCAGAGGGTGTGTGCTCCTCAGGGCCTTACTCTGGGCTTCCATCTTTTCTGGATTGAAACAGTGCCATCCTGGTGTTGGGTGCTGTCAACCTGGACCTGACTACTGGTGGGGATGGCCACTGGTCCCCAGAGTGGCACTTGCTGGGGAGACCTGCCTGGCATAGCTGGCTCTCTGGTCTCACAGATGTGTGTGAGGCCTGGCTGGACCTTTCAGCCTTGGCTTTCAAAGTGTTTATGGGCCGAGCCCTGGCTTGATGTGTGTGTGAGCATGCACGTTGCCGAGGCCCCCTGGAGTAGCTGGTGGGGGCCTGGGTGCCGCAGAGCCCTGGCTGTCTGGCACAGGCCTGTGACTTGTGCCCAGCTGACAAAGAGCTGGCACCACAGGTATGCCCTGCTGTGTGCCAGGGAGAGAGTTAGGTTTTAATGCCTTAGCCAGGCCAAGGGCCCCACAGGAGACCTATGAGACCCTTGAAGTGGGCAGGGAGGGTTTGTTTATGTGTAGTAGGCCTGGGACTTCCAGGACTCTGTGAAGAGTGGGACCACCTGCTGCAGATTGTATTCTCTGTGCAGGGGGGTGCCTGCCCCTCCATACCCTGCCATTTCTGATTGACACAGAGGTACGCCTTCGGGTGGGTTCCGTTGAAGATCCTCCATGGGAATGATACTGGGGAGATAGCTGTGTGCAGGAAGGACATAGGTTCGGGAGAGAGCCACGTGAGCCCACTGTGCAGACATGGTATGGTTGGGCCTGTCAAGCCTGTGTGCCCATGGCAGCCGTGGCTACGAGGTCTGCTGTCATGTACGTACCTCTAGGAGAATACTCTACGTTGCCGGGGAGGCGAGTACTGGTGCATTTCAGCCCATGTTGTCCATGGGGAAAGGTTCAGTTGAATGTGAGATTTCATTGGTTTTAGAATAGTCTAGTTTGCTGATGTGTGACTTTAAGATTAAAGACTTTGTAACTGGGTGTGGTGGCCACACCTGTAATCCTGGCACTGGGAGGCTGAGGCAGGAAGGTCTTGAGTTGGAGTTTAGCCTGGGCTATGTAGTGAGGTTCTCTCACTTCTCTTCACCAGAAGATTGAAGGCTTTGTCCAGCTCTTCAGTTCCCAAACTTCTCTATATTTTAAGACTCAGGAGCCCTGTCTGCTCCTTGTCCTGCCTTTCTGCCTGGGAAGAGGCCCTATCCACCTGCCCTGGACAGGAGCAGCTCTGCCCCCTCCCTGAGTGGGGCAGCCAGGGTGTCCCTCTGGCTAGGGGCCCACACGACTCAGCTGCATGCTGCTGAGATCTCAGCATAGATCACCCTGGGTTCTGTTGAAATGTGAACAGAAACTTGACTCTAACCACATTTTATTTAGCGCATTGTGCCTAAAAGGGTTGCAACCGTCAGGCCAGGAAGGTCATTGAGCAGTTATACAGAGCTGCATCCGTGTCCTCTGTGCCGTGTACTGCCCCCACACAGAGCACGTGGTCTGGGCCAGCTGTGTCCCGGTGCTTGGTGGCTCAGGTAGCAGGTGGGCGCCAGGCCTGCAGTGTGGGACCAACACTGAGTTGCACAGGTCAGCACCTTCCGTTGGGGCTGCAGCTGCAGGGTCTGCAGAGCTGGGCTGGTGACTCACAGGCCGGGGGCCGTAGTAGGGGTCTTGTTCTCCAGGAGACAGGCACTTTTGGCTGTCACATCTGGGGAGCAGCTACTGGCAGTGAGTTCCTGACTTAAAGACTAAAAGGGCCGGGGATGCGGTTCAGTATGAAGGCCCTGGTTTCATCCCTAGGACTGTACCAAAGAAAATTCCTCTGGGCTGGGCAGGGTGGGGCACACCTGGGTAGTGGTACTCCGTCCATGAGCTTATTCTTTCCCTCACTCTGGTTGCAAACTGAACTGGGCGAGAACCAAATTCAGTGTTGACTTGTAGGCCTGAATACACAGCACGCCGCAGTTCCCCTCCTCCCCTCGGCTGCCCGTCTTCATCTCCTCCCCTGGGAATGACCTCCCCGTCCTGGGTACATTCTTGCAGTTGCTCAGCTTTCACCATCGTCCACCTTTACAGCTGTCTTCATGCTGCAGACCTGAAGTTGTGACCCTGTTAAACGCTCCCCCCCCCCCCCCCCCCCCCCCCCCCCCCCCCCCCCCCCCCCAGTGTCACTGTCCTACTCTGCCTCCTGTGCTCTGGGACCTCACAGAAGTGGAATCATACAGCATGCTTATTTTTTCACTTAATGTGACTCCTCATGGTTATTCTGGTCTTCTCCAGTGGCAGTTTCCCTTCCTTTTGAAGGCCACGTAATATTCCATAAGCGTGCATGTTTAACTGTAGAGGCTGCTCAGGCACTGGTGTCCTGGCTGAAGTACTGATGCTGCTGCGGGCACCGCTGTGCCAGTGTCTGTTTCTTTTGCATGTCTACCTGAGGTGGGGTTACCAGGCCACGCAGTGATTGTGTTTTCATTTAATTTTGTTTTGCAGTGCTGTGGCTGGAACCCAGGCTGCTACCTGTGCTAGACTGGTGTCTGCCGCAGAGCCACACTGCCTGAGCCAGCCTGTTTCTAATTTCTGAAGAGCCACTGGTGTTTCCTGCCGTGCTGAGGCACCGGGTGCTGGTTCAGTGTACACAGGGCCTGGTCACCCTTGCTGTCCTATCTCTCTGGGTGTACAGTCCTGGTGGGCTTGGTTTGAGGCGACAGTGGCTGCCTGACAGGTGTTGGTTAAAGAAGTGGCCGTGAGTGTGTGCCACCCCTTCTCATGGGACCTTGGGCCTGTGTCCTGTCCCGGAGGCCCTGAGGGCACCCTGTGTACTTGGAACCGTAGACCCGACTCCAGGTGCGGTGACGATTTATTCTGCTGTCAGACTCTAGGTCAAGATTGGGGTGGAACTCAATTGAGTAGGAGTTTAAAACTTTCTGTTTTTGAGACAAGGTCTCGCTGTGTATGTAGTTCAGCCTGGCCAAGAACTCACAGTCTTCTGAGTTCTTGGGTAACAGGTGTGCAGCACTGTGCCCAGCTAAGACAGAAGCTTTTAAAATGTCTGTTTATGCACAGGAGGGATACATGAAACCAAGCTTATTCATATAGGCCATGTAAGCCCTCAGGTGGCCTCGTGTATAGAGCCCAGGTAGGTATTGATTTTACACACACGTGGGGCCTTCAGGAGATGTCGCTGCCACACAGGAGGTGCTGTCCAGGCTGAGCCCCTTCCACAGTCTGGCAGGGCTCAGGGGCAGTATGCAGGGGCTGCTCGTAGCAGAACCACAAGTCGGTGGTAGGGGACCTCCAGAGTGTCTCACAGTACAAGTCAGACTGTGATCTTCCTAGGCTGGCTGCCCAGGATAGGATGTGGGGACATTTAATACAATAGAACATTGCAGTCCGAGCTGGTGTTTTGTCTTGTGTTTTTTGTTTTTGGAAGCAGGGTCTCAGTGTGCAGCCCAGGCTGGCCTCACACTTGCAGCAGTCTGCCTCGGCCTCCCAAGTGCTGGGGTTGAAGGTGTGTACCACCAGGAGGAGCCAGACTCCTGAGCTGGAAGAGCTGGGTTTTCATTTCCCTTTGCTTGTGCAGGCCTACTTTCCAGCTAGCCCAGGTTCCTATCCTTTGCTGTCTGTGGCACAAGCCGTGGAGGGACCCGGCTGGCCCTGTGAGGTGTAGAGTGATTCCCCTGCCCTGCCCTGCCCTGGCTACCGTAAGGGCGCCTGGCCTCCACCCCGGGTGGCCCGGTGGCGGGGACATCTGGGCGCAGCATGCCTCACCGTGGCCCTGTCTCGTGCTGCTTGATGCGTGGCCATGAACGTTGCTCCCGGGGGTGCTGCCCTCACCTGTCGGGTACCTGTGTTGAAGCCTGACCTGTCCAGAGCTCTGTACTGGGGTCGGAGGCTCAGAGAGCTACCTGGGTCAGGCCTTTTGAGTCCTGGTACTGCACAGACCTGTGTGTCCTTTGATCTGCATCAAATTATTACATCCTCCAGATTTATAGCTGAGGGAGTTACAGTTCACCTTGACCTTTCAAAATTTCCTGAATAGGAGAACCAATCCAGTTCAGTGCTCAGCTTCTTAGGTCGGTGACAGTTGGAGCACTCATAGAGGGAGCCTGCAGACCCAGGCTGAAGGAGGACTCTCATTTGGCAGGGACCCTCTGCAGGGCAGGTATTGGGCCTGGGCAGAGGGAGCTCAGACCCTCAGGGAGCAGAGGTGCTGCTGGTGTGGCCCATGCAGGCCTTTGGGTGGGCTCAGGTGTGGGCAGGCCAGATGGCTGCAGAGGTGGCCTCCGCGCTGGGTGGGCAGGAGTCCTCTGGGTGCTGGGGTCACATTGAGAAGATCAGGCCCAGAGGCTTTGAGGCCCATGGTGCCACCCTGCCTCACACCAAGAAGCTCCTCTTGCTTGTGCCTGAGCTGTGCCCCTCCACAGAGAAGGCATGAGGGCCCCGTGCAGGGCCAGGTGCAGGTCAGCACTGACAGTGTGGGTCCGGCAGTGTGGCACAGACGCTGTGTTCCAGTGGTGTCCTTTGGAGTGGTCTACTCTGTGGTGTCCTCTTTTGAGCTATCCTCTGATCGTGGGAGGGCAGGAGCCAGGCCGCATCTTTCTGGTGTGTCTGGGCTTTGAAACAGTACTTAGTTTGAGACTGGAAAGGAAGAAACATGTCCAGAAGCCCCTCCAGCTGGTTTCAAGCCACTTGTGTGGTTTTGGTTCCGGTTAGGAGTCCCATGTCCCGTAGGCCTGGTGAGGAGGAGCCTTCCTACATCTGAGGATGCTTCTGCTGCTCGGGTGTGTGGCAGTGTGAGAAGCCCTGTGGCACAGAGTGGCTTCATACCTGCTGATTGTTCTTTTTACTCCTTGCCATGATCTCCAGGAGGGGCAGTCTGCTGTGATTTCAGTGAAAATGGAATTCGTCTTGGGCTGTGCCCACGTGTACATGCACTGTGTGGTTTTTGAGATAAGTGGTTTGTGTGGCACTGCTTGGATGTGGGTGATTCAGGGAGTTTCCTGCCAGGGTTCTTGAACTTCTCTAAAGATGTGTACTGGGCTGCCTGGTGGGGTTGCAGGTCCCAGGCCATAGGGCCATTGCAGGGCCGCGCCCCTCACTGCTTGGTGCTGTTCCCTTTGTGAGAAGGGAGACCAAGTTCTGGAGGGGGCAGCAGTGTTGCAGGGTCCACCCATGGCTCCCTGCATTCCATTCAGTCCTCTGCCACACGCCTTGCCTGCCTGGGATAAATGCTGTCCCCCCCCTCCCCCCCGCAGGTGACAAGGCTCTTGACGCCTTGCCTGCCTGGGATCAATGTTGTCCCCCCTGCAGGTGACAAGGCTCTTGACGGCTACAGCAAGAAGAAGTATGTATGCAAGCTGCTGTTCATCTTCCTTCTGGGCCACGACATCGACTTTGGACACATGGAGGCCGTGAACCTGCTGAGCTCCAACCGATACACGGAGAAGCAGATTGTGAGTGCCTCTGTGGATGGCGTGGTGCCTGCATCTGCTGGGGCTGACCGGTGTGGTGGCGGCGATGCTTAGGGCAGAGGGGCTCCTGATGGGACAGCCTGGCCTCCACTACAGCTCTCCATGCTGCATGCCCACGCGGAGGCTCCTGCATGTGTGCGCCGTGTGGTGTCCCAGCTCTGTGCCCACCGCCTCAGCTCAGCCTCCCCCCTGCAGAGCCCCAGGTGCACAGCCTGCAGCACCTGCCCAGCCCCTTGCAGTGCGGTGAAGCGGGCACCGCTCCAGGGCGGAGGAGGTCAGGGAGGCAGCCCCTGCTCCTCTCTCTGTTTGCAAGCCTCAAGGCCTGGTCGTTGCAGCTGTTCCTTTTTAGTAACATTATTTCTATTTCCCCAGTGTTAGAAAGCAGCAGTTTTCTCTACTGGCCGAAAAGTGAATGAATTTATAAGCTTGGGGAGGTAAACTTAGGCTGAGGCCAGAAGAGTGAAGGTTCAAGGCCTGCCTAGGGAGCTTAGGGACTTAGTAGAGACCTTTGCCCAAAAGGCAATTAAAGAGCTGAGACTGTACCTCAGTTGTAGAGCACCTGTGGGTTTGATCACCAATACCTGAAGGAAGAAACTTCAGAGGTTAAGAAATACTCTAACATCAAGAGTTTTGTTAGAGCCCTCGGCCCGCCCGCTCTGTCTGCGTCCTGGGAGTCACCGACTGGGTTGAAAGTGTTTGGGAAAGTCACACTGCGTGTGGACAGTTTTCCTCATTGTTCTGTAAGCCACAGGGGGAGAGGTCACACTTCCCAGCCTGCCCTTTAGGGGCGCCCCGGCTCTCAGCAGCTTGCTGGGTGCCCCCCCCCCCAGGCTCAGCGTCCTGCACATGCGCTGCGTCTCCTGTCCCCCCCTCAGGGCTATCTCTTCATCTCGGTGTTGGTGAACTCCAATAGTGAGCTGATCCGCCTGATCAACAATGCCATCAAGAATGACCTTGCCAGCCGAAACCCTACCTTCATGGGCCTTGCCCTGCATTGCATCGCCAACGTGGGCAGCCGGGAAATGGCAGAGGCCTTTGCCGGAGAGATCCCCAAGATTCTTGTGGCAGGGTATGTGTCTGATGCGGTGAGCCCACCCCCTTCCACAGGTGTATCCTTAGCCAGGGCAAGAGACCCCCAAGACCAGAATGTGGATTGTGGACAAAAACCTGGTCCTGGCAGCCACAGCCAAGCCAGGAAGGGCTTAGCTCACTGGCACTAGGGAGGGAAGGCCAGGGACCTCCGCCCTCTGCTCTGCTCCTCGCTCGGAGCACAGCTGAGTGGTCCAAGGAGCCCGTCTTCGGCAAGGGTGCACCGGCTCCTGGTGTGCCTGGGAGCCACCTGCTGGCCTGGGGGCGCTGTGGGGCTGTTGGCTGCTCTTGGCCACAGGGTGGCATGTCTGCCCGCACCTTCAAGATATGGAGTCTTTTGAAAATGATCTTTTCATTTGTGATTTTTAAAACATGTTGTACCATGATGGCCACTGTCGAGCTCTGCCCACCCGGCCGGACTTGGCCCCTCTAGCACTGGACACAGGGCTTGTCCCTGAGAGCATCGGAGTGGAGGGAAGGAAGATGGCCCCTCCAGTGCTCAGGGAATGCATGGGCGTCATCCGGAAGTGATGCATGCACAGCATGTAGGCTGTGATGAAGGCCGAGGAGTCGTCCTGCTGTTGCAGGGGACAGTGGGCAGTGCTTGCCCATTTTAGGAGACAAGGAGACAAGGTCTGACTCCATAGCCCAGGCTAGCCTTGAACTCACACTCATCTGCCTCAGCCTCCTGAATTCTGGGATCAGAGGTGTGTGTACCAACACTCATGGCTGGCTGACAGGTTAATAGTATCTTTTGATTGTTGTGGACTGTAGGCCCATAGTCTCCCCAAATGAGTGGACATCAAAGGCGTAAGTAAAAGAGACCGCTAGTATGATTTTAGGGCTCCAGGAGGATCGGAACCCTCTAACAGAACTGGAGATTCTCTAGGAAGCTTGTATGTGAGGGAATCTGAGAGGAATCTAGCAAATATTTTCCCAAGTAGTAAATTATGTCCAGGAGGACGATGTTATCCTGAGGTTGACACTGTTGGAGTGTGGAGCCTGCAGCTGCAGTCTTCTTTTAGTTAGCTGGGGCTGGAGCCAAATGTCCTTAGCTGTGGCCTTCTCTGTCCTTTGAGGCGTCCCAGCTTCACAGACCTTTACAGTCCTCAGCCAGGACTGAGGTTCACTTACTAGGAGTCTGCTGCCCATCTCCAGACGAGGGTCCTAGGCCTGGGATGGGCTCACATGCAAACATAGAAAGCCAATCGGTTAATATCAAATCCTGCTCAAAGAGGCTTCATC